GTAGTACCCAGGGATGTGGTACCCCAGGGATGTGGTGCTCCAGGGATGTGGTACCCCAGGGATGTGGTACCCCAGGGATGTGGTGCTCCAGGGATGTGGTACCCCAGGGATGTGTGACCCAGGGATGTGTGACCCAGAGATGTGGTACCCCGGGGATATGTGACCCAGGGATGTGGTACCCCAGGGATGTGGTACCCCAGGGATATGTGACCCAGGGATATGGTACCCCAGGGATGTGGTACCCTGGGATGTGTGACCCAGGGATGTGCTGCCCCACAGATGCAACATCCCGGGACACAGCACCAGCACAGCACTGACCGAGGCCAACATCCCGGCCTTTTACAGTTAAACTGGAAGATCTTAAAGGTCCTTCCCATCCCCAATGACTGTGATTCTGTCCCGTCCCCCCCCCCAGGACTGGCTGTCATGCACTCCCAGGGCAGTGACTACCTGGACATCGGCAACAACCCCCGGGTGGGCACCAAGCGCTACATGGCCCCCGAGGTGCTGAGCGAGCAGATCCGCACCGACTGCTTCGAGTCCTACAAGAAGACGGACATCTGGGCCTACGGGCTGGTGCTCTGGGAGATCACCCGGCGCACAGTGGTGAACGGTGGGTGGATCCCAGCCCGGCGGCTCCGCTCGCTCCCGGCTCCCCGGGCGAGGCTCTGCTCGCTCGCTCTGTCCTTCCCTCCTTCTCTTGGTGCCTTTTTTTTTTTTTTTCCTCCTTTCCTTCGCCCAGCAGATTAGCTGTAAATTATAAACACTGTAATCTAGTGTCAGCACCCGGCTCCCTGATTAAAGGGCCCATTAGGCTCAATCAGTGCTTTGTTTGTTCAGCGCTGATTAGAAAACAAGCAGCTCCCGAGCTCTGCCTGGAAAGCGGCCACGGCCGGGACCTTCGGCCGCTGGGGCTTGGCTTGGGAACTCGGGAATGGGGACAGGGATGAGGTCCCCCCGCGCCGGGGAGGAACCTCCTCGGGGCTGCCCGGCCAGCGCTGCTCATCAGGCAAAGCCCATTAGAAGCATTAATTAAATGGTGGGTGCTGGCGGGTGAGGGATGAGGTCCCCCCAGGCACAGTCTGGCCAGGATAATCTCATTTACGGCCCCAGGGCTCCCTCAGATTACACATTTACTCCGAATTACCCCGGCCATGTGCAGGGACGACCTTCAGCCAGCTGGGTTTAACCCTTCCAGAATCCCTCCCCCTCCAGGACGGCCTCAGGGCATCAGGGATGGGGGGCTCCAGGGGACCCCGAGGTCTGGGGGCTACGCCTTGGGGTGCAGGGAGCTGGCGAGGGCTCGGGGCATCCCACAGAGGTTAAACCCTGCGGGGACACGGACATATGGAGGCACTAAGCTGAGATTAGCTGGGCCAGCTGGCCCTGGGGTGATGGCTGGAGGTGGTGGCAGTGCTGGGGGCTGGAGCTGGTGCTGGGGGCTGGAGCTGGTGCTGAGGGCTGGAGCTGGTGCCGGAGCTGGCGTTCATGGTGGGGCTGGGGCTGGATTAGTGTCAAGGCTGGAGCTGGTGCCGGAGCCACCAGCAGTGCCAGAGCCGTGCACGCCGTGGGCACCATCACCGGCACATCCCACCGGCGATTCCCCCCATGCCCCCCAAGGCAGGGAGCAGCTCAGCCACGCCAGACCCTCCGGGCACCCCGTGATGCACAGGATGGGGGTGACCCCCCCGCCCGCCCCCACCCCTCACGCCGCCCCCCTTCCCGCAGGAATCGTGGAGGAGTATCGGCCACCCTTCTTCGACGCCGTCCCCAGCGACCCCAGCTTCGAGGACATGAAGAAGGTGGTGTGTGTGGACCAGCAGACCCCCGTGATCCCCAACCGCCTCTTCTCCGACTCGGTGAGTCCCGGGGGGCCGCCCCCCTCCCACCCTGGGCCAGACCTTCGCCCCCCGTTAAACCCTTCCATTTATCCCTCTTTTTGTGCCTCCCCAGGTTCTGTCGGCGCTGGCGAGGGTCATGAAGGAGTGCTGGTACCAGAGCCCCTCCGCCCGCCTCACCGCCCTGCGCATTAAAAAGACGCTGAAGAAGCTGAACAATTCCCTGGAAAAGCCAAAGCCGGAGCAGTGAGAGCCGGGAACACGCCAGAGCCGCTCACGGGCTGCACCGGGGACTGCGGCGAGGCCGATGTCGGGATAGCTCCGGTCTCAGAGGGGTTTTGCTCACAGCCCCCGCCTCTCCCACCCCTCCTTGGAGCCATTTGGATTTGCAAAGACCGAAAAAAATAGGAAAAAAAAAAAAAAACCAAACCACAGGAGGAATCTTCCAGTCGGTTATAAAAATACCCCCCCGGATCCGTCATCCGACGCCGGCGCGTCTCATCTGCCCGGCGGGGAGGGCAGCGGGTGCCTGGGGCCGGTGGCACACCCTGAGGCCCCCCGGCTGGACACCACCACGAGGGGCACCGAGGACAGAACCGTCCCCTGCTGCTGCACCCTGAGCCCGCGGGGCACCCACCCAGCGCTGGCACCGCCCTGGCACCAGTTCCAGCCCCGGAGCTGCCCAGACCTGCCCGCCCGGCGCTGGTAGCGGGAACGCCGCGGGCTCGGCGGCGGCGGCGGCAGGAATTCCCCGGCAGGGCTGCGGTGCCCGGCGCGCCTCTCGCCGAAGGAGAGGGATGGATTTCACTGGGAAAGGATGGTCCAAGGGCGGCATCGCCCCGGTCACGCCGGATCCGCACCCTGGCACGTCGTGGGGCTCCCCAGGATGAGGAGCTGCTGGCGTCAAGCACGGCCTGAGCACCCCTCCGAGGTGGGGGTCCCGTGGCGGCCTGATCCTTCCCTGCCCAGCAGCCGGCACCCCCTTCCCAAAGAAGTGCCCTTTTGGGTCTTTGCCAGAGTTTTGGTGTTTTCCGAGGTGTTCCGGCTCCATCCCGCGTCGCTCGCCGCCATCCCAAAACCCGCCCCGCGCTCCAGGCCGTTCAGACACGACCAGGACGGGACGCTCAGCAGGGCCAGCTTTGCTCCATAACTATTTAATTATTAAGATTTAATATATTTAATAAAGTGTAAAGCTATTTTATCGCCTAAGAGCTGCCAAACCTCCCGCGCCAGGCACTGGGCACCGCGGCAGGATGGGCCCCGGAGCTCCTGCCCGGCTCCATTTGTGGCTTCACCTCCAAGTATCCAATGGATCTGTCAGATCCTGCGACAAACCTGGCTTCGGCCTTGTGCCAACCCTTTCCCGGTGCCCATGAGGGGCTGGGGCTGCTCCAGGGGGCTCCCTTGGAATCGTCTTGGTCTGAGCCCAGTTAGGGACTGGGAGGAACTGGGCAGCAACGGGCAGCTGCTGGTTGTGGGTGGGGGACGAGGGGACGTGGGGCTGGGCAGGGCAGGGGTTGGGGTGCCCTGCCTGGGGTTTGGGGTGCCCTGCCTGGGGTTTGGGGTTCTCTGGCCAGGTTTTGGGGTGCCCTGCCCAGGGTGGCTGAGTCCCCAGGCAGATTGCACATACACACACACACATCAGGCATGCACACACACAAATCACGCTTGAACACACACAGCATGTATGTACAGACGTCATACATGATCCCACACACAGAAGTCACGCTTGAACATACACGAATCACGCTT